TAGAAAAAATGTTTGGGCTTCCCTTGTAGCTCAGCTGGTAAAGAATCAGCCTGCAATGCACAAGACCTGGATTCAACCCTGAGTTGGGAAGATCCCCTGGAGAAGGGAAAGGCTACCCACTCCCATATTTGGGCCTGGAGAAGTCCATGGAGTCACAAAGAGTCAGATACAACTGAGCGACTTTCACTTCACTTCACTTCACTTAGGGCAACTATTAAAAATAGAATAAAGTGGAATTCAAGATGGTGGAGTAGAAGGACATGCACTCATCTGTAAGAACTCCAAAATTACAACTCGCTGCTGAACAACCGTCGATAGGAGACTGTTGGATCCCACCAAAAAAAAAAAAAAAAAAAAAGAATATCCTATGTCCAAGGGCAAAGGAGAAGCCCCAGCAAGATGTTAGAAGGGGCGATATCGTGTTTAGAATCAAACCCCATATGGGCCAGAGACACTTGGAGGGCTCAAAGAAACCTTGTGCACATCAGGACCCAGACACCCCACAGAGACTGAGCTAAAACTGTGTTTGAGTGTCTCCTGCAGAGGTATGGGTCAGCAGGGGCCTGCCACAGGGGCAGGGGCTCTGGGTGCAGCAGACTTGGGTATGGCATAAGCTCTCTTGGAAGAGGTCACCATTAACCCCACCATAGAGCTGCCAGAACTTACACAGGACTGGGGAAACAGACTCTTGAAGGGCATAAACAAAACCTTGGGCACACCAGGACCCAAGAGAAAGGAGCAGTGACCCCACAAGAGACTGACCCAGACTTGCCCAGGAGTGTCCAGGAGTCTCCAGTGGAGGCGTGGGTCGACAGTGGCCTACTGCGGGGTTGGAGGCACTGTGTGTAGCAGTGTGTGCATGGAACCTTTTGAAGGAGGTCACCATTATCTTCATTACTTCCACAATAGTTTGGCCTTAGGTCAAACAACAGGGAGGAAACACAGCCTCACCCATTAACAGAAAACTAGATTAAAGATACTGAGCATGGCCCTGCCCATCAAAACAAGATGCAGTTTCCCCCTTAGTCATAAGGAGGTTCCATAAGCCTCTTATTGTTATCCATCAGAGGACAGACAGAATGAAAACCACAATCACAGAAAACTAACTAAACTGATCACATGGACCACAGCCTTGTCTAATTCAATGGAACTATGAGCCATGCTGTGGAGGGGCCACCAAAGAAGGGTGGTTGTGGTGGAGAGGTCTGACAGAACGTGGTGCACTAGGGAAGGGGATGGCACACCACTTCAGTGTTCTTGCCTTGAGAACCGCATGGACAGTATGAAAAGGCAAAAAGATAGGACGCTGAAAGATGAACTCCCCAGGTTGGTAGGTGCCCAATATGCTACTGGAGATCAGTGGAGAAATAACTCCAGAAAGAATGAAGAGATGGAGCCAAAGCAAAAACAACACCCAGTTGTGGATGTGACTGGTGATGGAAGTAAATTCCAATGCTATAAAGAGCAGTATTGCACAGGAATCTGGATGTTAGTCCCATGAATCAAGGTAAATTGGAAGTGGTCAAACAGGAGACAGCAAGAGTAAACATCAATATTTTAGGAATCAGTGAACTAAGATGGACTGGAATGGGTGAATTTAACTCAGATGACCATTATATCTACTACTGTGGGCAAGAATCCCTTAGAAGAAATGGAGTAGCCATCATAGTCAAAAAAAGAGTCCAAAATGCAGTTTTGGAATTGGATGCAATTCCAAGAACAACAGAAAGATCTCTGTTCATTTCCAAGGCAAACCATTCAGTATCACAGTAATCCAAATCTATGCCCTGACCGGTAATGCTGAAGAAGCTGAAGTTGAATGGTTCTATGAAAACCTACAAGACCTTCTAGAACTAACACCCAAAAAAGATTTTCACTATAGAGGACTTTAATGCAGAAGTGGGAAGTCAAGAGATACCTGGACTGCAGGCAAATTTTGCCTTGGAGTGTAAAACAAAGCAGGGCAAAGGCTCACAGAGTTTTGCCAAGAGAACGGACTGGTCATAGCAAACACCCTCTTTCAAAAACATAAGAGAGGACTCTACACATGGTCATTACCAGATGATCAATAGCAAAATCACATTGATTATATCCTTTTCAGCCAAAGATGCAGAAGCTCTATACTGTCAGCAAAAATAAGAACAGGAGCTGACTGTGGCTCAGATCATGAACTCCTTATTGCCAAGTTCAGACTTAAATTCAGAAGAAAGTAGGGAAAACCACCAGACCATTCAGGTATGACCTAAATCAACTCCCTTATGATTGATTATACAGTGGAAGTGACAAATAGATTCAAGGGATTAGATCTGATAGAGATATGAAGAACTATGGACAGAGATTTGTGACATTGTACGGAAGGCAGAGATCAAGACCATCCCCAAGAAAAAGAAATGCAAAAAGGCAAAATGGTTGCCTGAGGAGGCCTTACAAATAGCTATGAAAAGAAGAGAAGCTAAAGGCAAAGGAGAAAAGGAAAGATATACCCATCTGAATGCAGAGTTCCAAAGTAAAGCAAGGAGAGATAAGAAAGCCTTCCTCAGTGATCAGTACAAAGAAAAAGATGAAAATTATAGAATGGGAAAGACTATCAATCTCTTCAAGAAAATTAGAGAAACCAAGGGAATATTTCATGCAAAGATGGGCACAATGAAGGACAGAAATGGTATACACCTAATAGAAGCAAAAGATATTAAGACAAGGTGGCAAGAATACACAGAAAAACTATACAAAAAGATCTTACTGACCCAGATAACCATGATGGTGTGATCACTCACCTAGAGCCAGACATCCTGGAATGCGAAGTCAAGAGGGCCTTAGGAAATGTCACTACAGACAAAGCTAGTGGAGGTGATGGAACACCAGTTGAGCTATTTCAAATCCTAAAAGACGATGCTGTGAAAGTGCTGCACTCAGTATGCCAGGAAATTTGGAAAACTCAGCAGTGGCCACAGGACTGGAAAAGGTCAGTTTTCATTCCAATCCCAAAGCAAGGCAATGCCAAAGAATGTTCAAACTATTTTACAATTGCACTCATTTCACATGCTAGCAAAGTAATGCTCAAAATTCTCCAAGCCGGGCTTCAACACTACGTGAACTTCCAGATGTTCAAGCTGGATTTAGAAAAGGCAGAGAAACCAGAGATTAAATTGCCAGCATCCGTTAGATTATCAAAAAAGCAAGAGTTCCAGCAAAACATCTACTCTGCTTTATTGACTATGCCAAAGTCTCTGACTGTGTGGATCACAACAAACGGTGGAAAATTCTTTGAGATGGAGATACCAGACCACCTTACCTACCTCCTGAGAAATCTGTATGGAGGTCAAGAAGCAACAGTCAGAACTGGACATGGAACAACAGACTGGTTCCAAATTGGGAAAGGAGTATGTCAAGGCTTTATATTGTCACCCTGCTTATTTAACTTACATGCAGAGTATATCATGTGAAATACTGGGCTTGATGAAGCACAAGCTGGAATCAAGATTTCTGGGAGAAATATCAATAACCTCAGATATGCTGATGACACCAACCTTATGGCAGAAAGTGAAGAGAAACTAAAAAGCCTCTTGATGAAAGTGAAAGAGGAGAGGGAAAAAGTTGGCTTAAAGCTCAACATTCAGAAAACTAAGATCATGGCATCCGGTCCCATCACTTCATGGCAAATAGATGAGGAAACAATGGAAACAGTGAAAGACTTTATTTTTTGGGGTTCCAAAATCAGTGCAGATGGTGGCTGCAGCCATGAAATTAAAAGACACTTACTCCTTGGAAGGAAAGTTATGACCAACCTAGACAGCATATTAAAAAGCAGAGACATTACTTTGTCAACAAAGGTCCATCTAGTCAAAGCTATGGTTTTTCCAGTAGTCATTTATGGATGTGAGAGTTGGACTATAGGGAAACTGACCACCAAAGAATTGATGCTTTGAACTGTGGTAATGGAGAAGACTCTTGAAAGTCCCTTGGACTTCAAGGAGATCCAACCAGTCTACCCTAAAGGAAATCAGTTCTGAATATTCATTGGAAGGACTGATGCTGAAGCTGAAACTCCAATACTTTGGCCACCTGATGTGAAGAACTGACTCACTAGAAAAGACCCTGATGCTAGGAAAGATTGAAGGTGGGAGGAGAAGGGGACAACATAGAATGAGATATCTGGATGGCATTACCAGCTCGATGGACATGAGTTTGAGTAAGCTCCGGAAGTTGGTGATGGACAGGGAAGCCTGGCATGCTGCAGTCCATGGGGTCACAAAGAGTTGGACATGATTGAGCAACCAAACTGAACTGAACTGAGAAAAATACTTAAGTATTCAGTGTAAAGAAAATTTATAAATAAAAAGCAGAATATATATGTTTCATAAGCAAGAGCTTATGAAAACAAGATGAGAAAAGGAAATCACATCTCAAAGACTTTTATCATGACAAAAGGGATCACATAAATTAATAAGTCTTGGACACTCTTTTCCAGTGTGGCCAACTTATTTTCAAATGGGAGCCAATTATAACAGAAACCAGTAATGTAGTGAAATATCTTTGACAGAATCTTTTTTTTTTTTTTTTGCAGGCAGGAAAACCTTTTATTTTAAACAACAAATAATCAGCAGGTGGCCACAACTATCCATGTTTCATTAAAATCACATAAAACCTAGGTACAAAAGCACCACTGATTATTGCTCTAGAAAAACGGCATGAAAAAATCCAAATACGCACAGTAAAAGCACCACAGTATGCACAGGACTAAATTTTTAAAGCAAGTGCATGGAATGCTGAATCAATTTTACAGACAGCTTCCAATATTAAACCGGTATTTATTTTACTCAAGGATGATGGAAATTTCCAAAAAGCACGACTATGAGAAGGTAAAATGTCCATCCTTATATATTTTTGTATGCCAACTAGTAGAGTCCTAAAAAATTAGCATTTACAAAATACTCGGTAAAAATAGCTTTTAAAAGTTGTCCCAAGAGGTACATAAAATCAACCCCAATTTTCATGACCATTCATTCTCCCTTGTTAGCTACAGATTCAGTTTTCTGTGCCTTTTCAGCTTGAGTGTCACCATTTTCAGCCGGTGCTGCGGTACCTTCCTTCCCAGCTTCCTGCTTCTCCTCCTTCTTCCCTTTAACACCTTTGCTAACCTTTGTTGCTGGTTCTTTCTTAGCAGATGTTTTTCTTGGTTTAGGTTCAGGTTTGGGGGGAGCAGGTTTCGCTGACAACCTGGCAGACCGTCTGGTGGGCTCCTGTTTAGTTACTTTGGATCCATCCTTGCCCTCTGTATTTTCTGGAGACTTTCTCTTCGCCATAATGACTGTATTCGTGCAGCTGAAAAGTAAAGCAACGGGCTGGAACTGCTGGCACCGCCGCTGGATGCTGCCGCCGCCGCAGCTGCTCACGCGCAGGTCTTGGCGTAGCCCGGCCTCCGGGACCTCGACAGAATCATTTTGAAAAAGAGATGCAGGGCACATGAAGCTGCTTTATGTGAATGCCCGCTCATGCCTTATGCCCTCCTTTTACAAAGAAGAGCTCTACTTCTATTGGGCAAGTCCATTTTCCAGGTTATTTTTGGAGAACTAATGCCTTTGTCACATAATTAAGAAACTTAGACATGGTTAGGAACAACTCTGGATAAAGACTCTAAAGCATTACCATCAACTCCCAGGAAAATACTTCAAACTGTTTCTATTACCTTTCACCTGAGTGATATATTAAAGAAAAGACAACATAGTGGAGCTCTGTAGAGACCCATCTAAAATCATGAAAGTTTAGTAAGTATTAATAGTTCCTGTTAGAACAATAGAATTTAATTTTCACTTCCCACCCCCAGCTTTATGGACATATAATTGACAATTTAAAAATTCCATGTAATTAAATTTACAACCTCATGTTTTGATATACATACACATTGTGAAATAATCATCCTAATTATGATTAACATATCCATCACCTTACCTAATTACTTTGAGTGTGTGTATGTTGACAACACTTAAGACCTACACTCAGCAAATTTAAAATATACAACATAGTATTTTAATTACAGTTATATTATACATTAGATCTTGCATCACTGGAATTTTGTATCCCTTGACCAATGTTTACCATTTCTTCTTGCTACTCTCAACCCCTAGCAACCACCGCTCTACTTTCTATTTCTTTGAATTTGACTATTTTAGATTTCACATAAAAGTGAGATCATGCAGTTTTTGTCTTTCTGCATCTTGCTTATTTCACAGAGGATGATGTCCTTGAGGTTGATCTACATTGTTATAAATGACAAGATTTCCCTCTTTTAAAGGCTGAAAATATTTCATTATGTGTATATATATATATATATATATATATATATTATTTATATATCACATTTTCTTTATCCATTCATCATCAATGGATATTTAGGTTGTTTCTTTGGTTATTGTGAATAATACTGAAATGAACATGGGAGTGCAAGTTTCACCTTATTTTAAGTACCAAGAAATATGTGCATTAATTAGAGATTCTCAATATCTCTCAATTTCTATATGGTATCTAATAATTTTATTATTTTTGAAGAAAATAAAATTGAGAAAGAAAAGCCTTCCTTTGTTAACTTCAAAAAGGCTCTAAGTGATTCTTAGGCAAATTAACATACGTGGAAAATAACTCGAATTAGGACAATTAGTACAAGTAGCTTTACTGTTCAGTATGTTTCAGGAGCATTTGAAGTTTATTGAAAGATATATAACATACTCAAAGGTATGTAAATTTATACTTAAATCACTGAGTTTCACATTTCCTTTTTCTTTTTTTCACATTTTCTTTATTTATTTGCTTCAAGGAGAAATACTTCTTCCAAATCATAAAATAGCTTTCCAGGGAAAAATTTGCATAGATATTTTTGTCACTTTTGAGTCCTAAAAAGTCTTTTTCTATGAAACTTCTGAGACATAGAAGTATTTCAGACAATATTATAGAATTAAAAAGCTTGAGTTAACTTTGCATCTTTCTTTCCTTGTGGTTAACCTAATTAGTCATTGTTAGTATAATTAGTAATACTGAGAAAATAACATTGCTCTATTAAGAAAAAAGACTGTTGTAACTATCAAAATCTTTGTAATAGGTACAATGATTCTAAAACTTTATATGGGAGAATAAGAATGCAAATAATAGAGGGTAAAAGCATTTTAACTATGAAAAGAACTAAGCCAATTGAATATAATAATATACCCAAACTACTATACTAAAACAGGCTTCCCTGGTGACTCAGAAGCCCCCAGTGCAGGAGACCTGGGTTTGATCCCTGGGTTGGGAAGATCTCCTAGAGAAGGAAATGGCAACCCACTCCAGTATTCTTGCCTGGAGAATTCCATGGACAGAGGAGCCTAGCAGGCTGCGGTCCATGGGGTTGCAAAGAGTCAGAAATGACTGAAAGACTAACACTTTCACATTCACTTTTTCACTATACTAAAACAGGGAGTACAAGTTAAAAAAAAAAAAGCTTAGTGCAGAAACAGTCCCATTAGGTATAGGAACTTACTGTTTGATACAGGAGATTTCATAAATCAGTAGAGTAAGGAAGGGCCATTTTGGAATGGTTATCAATTTAGAAAAAAAAAATTAGATTGTCCTCTCATACTATGCATTCAAATATATTCCATATGAATTGAATATATATAAAATGTTAAACTCAGTGGTAGAGAATCCGCCTGTATATATACATACATTGTCCAAGAATATATACGGACAATAATGAAAAAGCACAGTATTTAAGTGATTCATTTTTCAAGAGAAGCAGGAATAAAAATATCAATATTAATTACAAATATGGACATTATAACAATAAAAACTTAAAAATGACAAAAGATACTATAAAAAATTACATATTTGATCCCCAGTTTCCCCATATCTTTTCACTTCACTGATTTTAAATGTTTTCAAATGTTATTTTTTCTTTTTCTTTAAATATATTCACTTTACATTTCCCATTCTCCCCTACTGGCTTTTGGTTCAAAGCTTTAATCTTTTTATTAATTTAAAATGTTTTCATAAATTGTTTTCCATAGCTTGGCAAAACTTCATATTTAGCAGAATCACCTGGTGTGGACATCCAGACATATTTATGGATATGGGAATGTGGAATTACTGAGTCAAAGGATAGGAAGATTCTGACAGCTAATGAGATTATCAAGGCTTCACTTGGGAATTTCCTGGTGATCCAGTGGTTAGGATCCAGGCTTCCTTTGTATGTGTGTATGTATGTATACATACACACAGGAAAACTAAACTGTAGTGTTTTTCTACATGTCTCACAGGAATAATTAGATAGGGTCTTTAGTGGCCTTGATGATTCTTTTTTATAAGGTCTAGCAACTTAAGATTCTTGATATGGGAAAGTCTCACAAATATGTATTCACTACACATGGCATTGGCTCATCTCATTTTCTCCTTACAATATCAGATATAAAAATAGCCCAAAGTTGTTAAACTCCTCTGTTAACAGTTTATAATTTGTACCTAGATTTAATTCTATTAAGGCATTGATTGAATATAGAAGCTAATCTCTTATAGCAACTCCTAGCTTGGTCAGTAATTAAGGCCTTTCTTTCACCATGTGGAATTATTTGTGTATTTGTCTTCTACCACAATTTCCTCAGTCCTCAACCATCCCTCACCCCAAAAGGGAAGACTACCTGTAAAACCATACTGTAATATTCCATGGACAGAGACTATACATGTGTATATTTACAAAATACATGAGTTTTTTTCATTCCCTATCATTGCCTTCAAAGCTGGTACTGTTAAATTCTCATTTATAGATTTAACCAGCTCTGGGGCCAGGGAAGGAGCGGGAATCCCTGATTTGTAGCATTTGCCAATTTCTGTATTATAAATACTCGTGTCATGGAAAATTTGAAGCTACTGACATGATATCATTGAAAACAGAACTGGGAACTGATGTACAGTAACACACCATTATACAGTATTTCTATCATACAGACACAACAAACATACATAACCTCAAGAGATTAGATAATAGTAAAATGTAGTAAAATAATTAGGAAGTAATGAGTATCAGTATTTTTACCTCTGTTTTTAATACAGCCTTCTACCTGTAAGTGTAAATACCTTAAGTTTAAAATATTGCTGTGTTTAATTCCTGGCTTGCAATAATAACCTGAAAATATTGGCTCTTGCTAGCTAGCTCTAACATAGCAATGGTTTTAACCTTGCCCCAGTTTCTAGAACCAAGACCTAGTTTAGCAACTCAAATATGAGTCAGTCTTCTATCTAGAACAACTCATCTTAAATATACAGAAACTAGATTCATATTAGATTGCTGGTATGTACCGGGCTTCGCTGGTGGCTCAGTGGTAAAGAATCTGCCTGCCAATGCAGGAGACAAGGTTCAATCCCTGGATCAGGAAGATCCCCTGGAGAAGGAAATGACAACCCCCTCCAGTATTCTTGCCTGGAAAATCCCATGGACAGAGGAGCCTGGTGGGCCACAGTCCATAGGTATCAAAAGAGTCAGACACAACTTAGTTTCTAAACAACAAAAGGACTGAATATTCCCATGAGTTTCCCATTGTGCTAGACTGTGAGGATGCAAGGAAGGTTAAAACCCTTCCCACATGCTGGGAAACCTGGACAGCTGCATGTAAAAGAATGAAAGTAGAATACTCTCTAACACCATGTACAAAAATAAGTTCAAAATGGATTAAAAACCTAAATGTAAGACCAGATACTATGAAACTCCTAGAGGAAACCATAGGCAGAATATGCTTTGACATAAATCCCAGCAAGATCTTTTTTGACCCACCTCCTAGAGTAATGAAAAGAAAAACAAAAATAGACAAATGGAACCTAATTCAACTTAAAAGCTTTTGCACAGCAAAGGAAACCATAAACAAGACAAAAAGACAACTCTCAGAATGGGAGAATATGCTTGCAAATGAAGCAACTGACAAGGGACTGATCTCCAAAATATACAAACAGCTCAAGTAGCTCAATATTAAAGACAAGACAAAACAAACAACAACCCAATAAAAAAATGGGCCGAAGACCAAAAGAGACACTGCTCCAAAGAAGACATACTGATGGCCAAAAAGCACATGAAAATACACTCAACATCATTAATTATTAGGGACATGCAAGTCAAACTACAATGAGATATCACCTCACACTGGTCAGAATGACTGTCATCAAAAAGTCCACAAGCAATAAATGCTGGAGAGGGTGTGGAGAAAAGGGAGCACTCTTACACTGTTGGTGGGAGTATAAACTGATACAGCCACTGTGAAGAACAGTGTGGAGGTTCCTTAAAAAACTA